GTACATAAAATTATAACATATCAGCTTATTAACTACAACTAATATTACTACAAACCTGTATTTATCCTTTTTAAATGTTAGTACATCACAAGATTATATTTAACCAGGCAATCTACATGTTTTATCTTGAAATTCACATTTTAAAAAATGCAAATGTGAAAAAAGGTTTGCTTTTTTTTCTAATGTGAGGTGTTATCTTGACTTAAAAACAAAGCAAAAAAGGAACCGATCTATTTTCTGAACAATACACTATGCTAAAATGATCCAAAACTATATTATTGCACTGCTTTGTAGGTCACATCCTTTTCAAACATAAGCGACCCTGTCACTCCTCCAGTCCTCTGCTCAAATCCCTCCACTAGAGTCCCATCTCTGTGAACAAAAGCCAAAGTCCCTACAGGGGCGATAAGGCCCACGCCCTCTCCATTCCCTTGCTCACCCCATTAAACCCACACTGGTTTTCTTGTTGTTGCTCCTGCGCCATGGCCTTGAACCCTTCCCCAAGACAGCCACAAGCCTGGCTCCTTCACTTATTTCAAGTCTGTGTTCAAGTATCAGCTTTTCAGTCAAACCTTCTCTGGTTGATGACTGACCTCATTTTACACTGGTATTCCAGCACCCCTCCCATCTCTGCTCACACATAACTGTCTACTAAGGACTCATGTGTTCCTATAAAATTCATATTTTGAAGTCCCAACCTCCAGTGTAACTATATTTGGAAATAAGGCCTTAAAGGAAGTGACTAAGGTTTAATGAGGTCTTAAGGGTGGGGTCCTGATCCAACAGGATTAGTAGTTTTATGAGAAGAGACATGAGAGAGCTGTCTCTCCCTCTCCTTTGCTCCCTACTCCTGCCGCCAGTACCGAATTTACTGTCTCCCTTTATTGCAGAATAAGCTTCGTGAGGACAGGGATTTTTGTCTATTCATATCACCTACAACCTGGCATATAACAGATGATCAATAAATATTTGTGGAATGCATAAAGTATATATTTAAAACATCTTAAAAGTTGATAAGCTACAGTAAGAAACAATATATTTTTGTGACGCTATTCAAGGGATCTAATAAGAAATAAAAATACACAATCTTCAATAAGCTAAAGTTTAAAAATCAAATGATCAAAATTTGTGTTCTAATCACAGAATCCTACTTTCTTGGTTCTCCTTCTATGAATCTGACCCAACACAGGCTCTGTCTTCCTCTCACCCATAAATGTGGAAAATATGTAATACTGTTACTTTGAACTTTTTCTCTAATAACTTCCTACATGAACTCATCCATTTTCATTGCTTCAACTATCGCTTTTTTTTTAAGATGACTCTGAAACTCTGAAATCTTCATCTCTGGCCTGGACTTGTCTGTGCACTCTAGTGCTATATTCACAACTGCCTTTGCGGGGAACATCACTTCACCAAACTGCTAGAGATGTCGAAGGGCAGAATCCTTACATAGAACATAATGTACTCACTTGAGTAGAAAAAAAAATGCTACATAAAATATAATTTTAAAATGTAGTAGTAGTATAAAGACTCACTTAATTCTATATACTGTCTGAGAAACTGCCTTCTTTCATTATAGAAATTAGACTATGATAATAGGGAATTCCAATCTTTGAGTTATGACTGTGTATTCTAATTAACAATATACCTGTGTACTAACAGTTTCACTTCAACCACTCAGTTATTCCCAATATTGCAATAAAGTTTTATTACCTTCAAATTGAATTTAATCACTTGGGGTGGGGAATATTAGAAATCATATGAGGTTTTCAAATTAAGTTTCTGAACTAGGATAGTTTATTTTTAGAAGAAAAATGTCTCATGTCTTTGTCTTCATCATTGACTCCCAAATAACATTTGTTTCTTTAGCCATTTTTCTTCCTACTCACTAATCAATTCATTATTAACGACTTCTCTAAAGCACAGATTTTACCTCTCCAAAAATGCTCAGTAATTTGATGATGAAATGACAATTCAGAATTTAGAAGTCTTCACATTAAAAGTTGGCTAACAGAATTCATTATCCAATTTAAACGAACCACATATTTTTAGAATTTCATTGAGCAAAAAGAAAAAGAAAAAAAATCCAGGAGAAAATTATACTGTTACTATGCCATTAGAGATAGGCAGGCCTTCCAGGGTGCAATAAAGTCTCTGGGGCCTTGGATAGCATGAAGAAACCTCTTATAGTCAGTGATCCTCAGTACCAATCAGTTACTGATGAAATACATGATGTCCCACGCCTATACTACCCTTTAAAGAGGAATAATTACTACATATTATATCAGGTAAATTTCACTGCTATTTCTTTCTCAAATATGTTTTCTTCAAGTTAAGAATATAAATTAAATCTAGTTAAGATAGGTGCTGATATAGACTGAATGCCTGTGTCCCCCCAGAATTCATATGTTGAAATTCCAGGTCCCAATGTGATGGCATCAGGAGGTGAGGGCCTTTGGGAGGCGATTAGGTCATAAGGGTGGAGCCCTCATAAATGGGTTAGTGCCCTTATATAAGAGGCTATTGAGAACTCTCTTGCCCCTTTTAGCATGTGAGGTTATAAGGAGAAGATGGACGTTTATAAGCTGGGAAGTGGGCCCTCACCACACATCAAATCTGTTGGAAACTGGATCTAAGACGTCAGAGCCTCCCCAACTGTGAGAAGTAAGTTTCTGTTGTTCATAAGCCACCCAGGCTATGGTATTTTGTTATAACAACCTGAACAAACTAAAATAGGTGTTAAGAAGCCATGCTCAACTGTCCTCAGTGCTCACAAAAGGCACAAAGTATGCCTAAACTACCAACAAATCCTGTCATCACTCCTCAAAAAATATCCAGAATCTGACCAATTCTCTCTCCCTTTTCTGCTACCAGATATTTTGGTCCAAGCCACCGTCATCTGTTACCAGGATTATGATAAGAGTCTCCTAAATAATCTCCCTGGCTCCATCTTTGCCCCACTACAGTCTACTCCATGCCAGTGATCACAGTAAAACATTAGTCAAATCAAGTCACTCCTCTGATCAATATCCTCGACTAGCTTCCCCATCACTTGAAGTGAAAGTCAAGTTCTTATAATGGCTTAGAAGAACCTTCGTGGTCTGGTCCCCCTTCACCTCATCTTAAACTGTTCTTCCTCTCTTTTACTCCCTTCAGCCCCAATGTCTTCCTTGCTACTCCTTGAACACATCAAACACACTCTCACTTCAGGTCCTCTACGTCAGCAGCTTCCTCAGCCTGAAAGGCTCCCTCTCCCTCTAGACAGCTACGGACTTGTTCCCGTGCTTCCTTCCAGACTCTGATCAGTGAGGCCTTCCTTGACAACAGAACATAGACTAGTACCCCTTCTCTGCTGCCTGCCCTTCTCTAATACCTTTCACCTGCTTTATTTTTTCCCAAAGTGCTTATTATTACTTGGCATACTGTATGTTTGTTTCTTATTTGCTTTACTTAACTAGAACGTTCACTCCAAGAGAAGAGACTGTTGTGTTCTTTGTTCATTCCCTAGCAAGAGAATATAGAGTAGTAGATTATCAATAAGTATCAATAAATATTGATAAAATGAATGGATAAATCTTGCACTAGTTTCTTATCCCAAACTAGATGCAGATTCATCTTCCTTCAAACTGCATACCACTAAATTTTTATTTTTCTTAGAATAAATCACATCCTTGTATTAAAAATCATTTTTTATGTATCTTAGCATCCTGTAAATATCAATAACCATGTCTTATTCCTCTTTGTATACCCCACATCTAGCATCATTTCTTTCTTTTAAGAGGTACTCAATATTTGTTCATTTGTTGGGCTGAATTTGAAGTCATACTAAAAAAGACTTTTTTTTTTTTTTTTTTTTTTGAGACAGAGTCTTATTTTTTTTTTTTTTTTTTTTTTTTGAGACAGAGTCTCACTCTGTCACCCAGACAGGAGTGCAATGGCGTGATCTCGGCTCACTGCAACCTCTGCCTTCAGGGTTCAAGTGATTCTCCTGCCTCAGCCTCCTGAGTGGCTATTACAGGCGCACACCACCATGCCCAGCTAATTTTTGTATTTTTAGTAGAAACGCGGTTTCGCCAGTTGGCCAGGCTGGTCTCAAACTCCTGACCTCAGGTGATTCACCCACCTTGGCCTCCCAAAGTGCTAGGACTACAGGCATGAGAAAGATATTTCTATAATATACTTGGCGCTGTTGTGCTATCCATTAGCACATGGCCCAGTACCAATTCTTAAATTGCTAAAAAAAAAAAATGTGCTGCTTTCGTAACAACCCACCAAAATTTAATACGAGTGAGATAGAAAAGGGCGTGTAAGCTGGCTCAGAGATGCCTAATATCCATTTTGTACTGATATGGAAACCATGAAACACATCGGGAATGATGTCAACAAATCAAAAGACTTTCAGAGGATACTGAAAACTACTTGGAAGAAAGCTGCCTCAGCTTGACCTACCAATGAATTCTACAAAAAGAAAAGCCAGAGAGCAAATGGTTCCCTCTTATCTTTATAAAAAAAAAAAACCAGAAACAAACTAACATGAAGAGATTTTTCCTAAAAAACAAAAACAAAAACAAATTCCAACATCACTACTACAATTAATATCCACTTGACTCAAAACTTTTACACAACTCATTAACTGGTATTTTTTAACAAAAAGCTTAAATAACCAAGGAAAAATTAAATTATCATCAATGTTTAAAAAACGTAATATGCCTTGAGTTTTAAACTTTCATCAAGTCAGTTAAAATTAGAGTCTCATATTAAAGGGGTTAAACCTTCACTAGTAAGAAAGGTCAACCATACACAGTAATTTATTCTCTAAGACTTGTGGACAAGCAGAATTTTGCTTTTCAGTCAAACTTTTTGAAAACTAATCATCCATAATTATAGTAATCAAAACAATTAATAGACTAGAACTCTTCTTACAAAGCAAAAGAAGTGACAGCATTACAAATAAATGATACGGTAAAAATGACATCCTTCCTTCTGTGGTGTCAGCTCACCTGAGGTATAAGTCTATCCAAGTGCTCAACTCGATTGCCATGAGAAGGGTGTGTAGATAACCATTCTGGCATCTTGGGTTGGCCATGCAGGCTATCAACAAACTCCATTTGCTGCCAAAACACTGAACTGGCTCTTATGTCCACACAAGCCTAAAACCAAAATTAGTAAAGCCACACAATGAGCTCAGTTTTGAGAATATTTTTTTAAAAACATGACTTTATGTCACCACATGCTTTAAAATCATTTTCTATCATCATTTTAATAAAAGTAGAACATAATCATTGCTTAGAAAAAGACCCACCTCAAACAATATGATATCACAGTACAGAAATAAGAGAATGCCTGCCCTCCCCACATACAACATTCATAATAATCCTGCTCCCCAAAGATAACCCACTATTTTCAGTATGATGGATATAAAGAACATCTATTAAGGGTAAAATATTATACACAAATTAAAAATTTGTTTTCATAAAAATAAGGTTTTTAAAATATAACCTATTAAAACATTAAAAAACTTTACTTCTATGCCACTAGATCAGAAAAAAAACTTCAAATAAACTTAAAAGACATTTTTATTGTGTACATCAATTTACCCACTTTTCTCAATGTATATGGAGAATATACTTAATTCATATTATACCTTATAAAATACAATATCTTGTAAAAGTACAATATAAAAGTACATTAGTACTTTTTAAAAGACTATATGTAGATTTTGTGTATGTGTATGCACAATTCCATCATACGCTCAAATATATATACCCAGACATATATAATTGTATATGCCCAGAACATATCTGGAAAGCTATTTAAGAAATGTTTAATAGTAGCTACCCTAAGAATGTACCTGAGGTATTTGATAGTGGAGAGGGAGCAGGACTTTTATTAAAATATATTAATTTAAATATATTAAAATACATTATTGTATAATTAAAATTATTTTAAAATCCTCCATAAGGTGGATTATTAATATTTTCTTAATTTGTTCAATTTATTCACATTTCTTAACTTATTCTTTCTATAAGACGTAACTGGAAAACAAGTAATTATATTTCCCAACCATTTTACTTTTGATTAAAACTAAGAAAAATATATATGTATTATATTAACTAAAATGTTCTCTCAAAAATGCTTATAATAATGTAATTGTGAAACCACAAAGGCAAATATATTAATAGAACACTGCATGCTAGTCAACAACCATCCTACATAATTTCTTAACAAATACCATTAAAACATTTCCAAATGTTAGCAAAATACATAAAGAAGTTTTAAATGCAAGTAAATCTTATTAAATATTTAAAGAAATATAATTCTTTAAGATCTCTGAGTATTTTAAGTTGAAAAGAAGTTAAGGTACTTTATACACTGCTGCAAAGATATGGATATACATATTTATATGTATATAAACAGGAATATACAAGATAAATGTATATCACAAACATAAATATGATTCATGTTTGTACACATAAGTACAAATCTATATATGCAAGATGTGTGTGTGCTTATGTATAAAATATGTTTGTAACATAACTACCCACACAGAAATAATTATTTGATGTTGAATTAGAAATACACAGGGGAATATGCACCTAAATAATAGGTAATCACATTCACAATAAAAATACAAGCTGAGAGTAACAAGTATTCTTCTAAAATAATCCATTAAAATATAAAATCATTTGAAAGAATTCTAACACAAACAAAAAAACCCTCTGAAAACTGGAAGATAAACATTTCAATGGACTACAAATTCATGAATTATCTAATATGAAGTCTATCTGCTATATAAGCAAAAAGCATACTTATCTAATTTTTTAAGCCTAAAACTGTTAATCAAAAGACAAAACATTTCCTTATTCAATCTCTAAGTAACACAGTTGAAGGAAATCTTTAAAGCAATATTTGATATGCAGAAATAGAAAAAGAAATTAATTATCCCAACAGACTAGAAAGTATTCCAAACTAAAAATATCAAAAAGGGACTTGAGATGTCTACTTTAATGTTAAGATAAGAGTGTTGAGTTTGTCTATATTTCTCAAACCCAGTTCAAAGACCCATTAAGTCAGATAATTGTGTTTCCAAAATGAGTATCTGATTTACATTTTTCCAACTTAGGAAAAATAAGTAACAGGGTGGACATCAGCAAGATGGAAAAATAGGAAGCCCTGAACCCTCCTTCCCCATATGAACACTCTGATTCAAAAATAATATACAAATTCCCTTTGTGAGAAATCCTGAAACTAGGTACAATGCTCTGCACCTGCACAAGTATGACGCAAGCCACATCAAACCTCGTAAAAAATTGCAGATACCCTCTCACCATAATCTCCAAGAGCTATTATGTACCTCCGATATGGCACCACATGATCATAAGAACACCTGCAGCTCCCCACCACTCCTTAAGGAAGGAAAAAGTTGGCTTGTGTATCTAACATTCCAACTTTTCTAAGAGCTGCCCTAGGAACTGGCTTTTGTCTTGCCACCCTTGTAGCACTGATGGAATCTAGAACACTCTAGATGACAGGGGGCCAGTAATAACAGCAACAGCAGTTTGAATAAGCACACAAGCAGTTGCCATACTCTCTCTCTAAGGTTCAGCATCAAGTGAGTTGGAGAAAAACTCCAAAGCCCAGCCTCTCCCAGGGCAGGGATGGGGGAGAAACGGTAGATCACATGTCCAACATTCTAACATTTCTGAGGGCTGCCCAAGGGACTGGCTTCTGTCTCATCTGCCTTGGAGCACTGATAGGACACAGCATATGGACCAGATGGACTAGATAGGACCCTAGATGCCTAGGGACTGCTAAGAACAAAAACAGCAGTTTGTACTAGCATGAAAGTTTGAGAGATTCTCAGAATCTCTGCTGTGCTGACTAGTGAAGATCTTCTCCCGTACAAAGAGTCTGTAAAGACTAAGAGAGGTTGCTGTTTTTCCTAATGTGTAGATATCAACGATAAGAGTCAAAAAATAAACAGAAAAATATGTAACAAAAGAACAAGATAAATCTTCAGAAACTGACCCTAATGAAAGGGAAATATATTATTTATCTGACAAGAGAATTCAAAATAACCTTCATAAAGACACTCAATGAGGTCAGAACAACGCATGAACAACGTCAGAATTTCAACAAAGACTCAGAAAATGTAAAAAAGTACCAAACAGAAATTCTGAAGCATACTCTCAAACAACACACTCCTGAACAGCCTATGGGTCAAAGGAAAAAAAGAAAGGAAAATCATCTTAAGACAAATGAAAATGAAAACACAATATAACAAAACCGATGGGCTACAGCAAAAGCGGTTCTAAGAGGATAGTTTATAGTGATAAACACCTACATTTTATAAAAGAAGAAAGAAAACAAATAACCTAATCTTATACCTGTAGGATCTGAAAAAAAAGAAGCCCAAAGTTAGCAGAAGGAAGGAAATAATAAAGATTGAAGCAGAAATAAAGGCGAGAATTTAAAAAATAGGAAAAAACTTGAAACTAAGAGCTTTTTGGAAAAAATTTACAAAACTGACAAATCTTCAGAGTAATTAAGAAAAAAGAAGATTTAAGTCAACAAAATCAGAAATGAAAGAGGACACATTACAACATAACATTATAACTGATACCATACAAAGGATCATTAAGAGACTAATCTGAACAATTTTCCTCCCACAAATTGGATAACTTAGAAGAAATGGATAAACTCCAAGAAATATATAACCCACCAAGACTGAATAATAAAAAAACAGAAAATATGAACAGATCTATAACTAATGGGATTGAATCAATAATAAAAAAAACCTCCCAACAAAGAAAAGCCCAGAACCAGATGACTTCACTGGTGAATGCTACCAAAAACATTTAAAGAATTAATGTCAATCACTCTCAAACTCTTCCAAAAAATTGAGGAGGGAAAACTTCCAAATTTATTCTATGAGGCCAGCATTAACCTGATACCTATGCCAAAGACAATAGCAAAAAAATTACAGGCCAATATCCCTGATGAACATAAATGCAAAAATTCTTAACAAAATACTAGCAAACCAAATTCAAGAGCACATTAAAAGGAATCACACCTTATGACCAAGGAGGATTTTTTTTCCTGGTAATCAAGAATGGCTCAACACACAAAAATCAATTAATGTATTAATGTGATACACCACAGTAACAGAATAAAAAATCACATGATCATCTCTATAGATGTAGAAAAATCACTTGACAAAATTAAACACTCTTTCATGATAAAAACTCTCGAATACTAGAAATAGAAAAAAATTATCTCAAGATAATTATGGTTATATATGAAAAGTCCACAGCTAGCATCACATTTCATAGTGGAAAACAAAATTTTTTTCCTCTAAGTGCAGGAACAAGGCAAGGATGTCCAATCTTGCCACTTCTATTCAACATAGCACTGGAAGTCCTAGCCAGGGCAATTAGGCAAGAGAAAGAAATAAAAGGCATTGAAATCAGAAAGAAAGAAATAAAATGATTTATCTTTTCAGGTGATATAATCTTATAAGTAGAAAACTAAAGACTCCACACACACAAAAACCCTGCTAGAACTAACAAAGTCAATAAAGTTAGGGTACAAAAATCAGCATACGAAAATCAGTTATGTTCCACACACTAACAACAAACTATCCAAACAGGAAATTAAGAAAATATTCCACTTACAAAAACATTAAAAAGAATAAAATACTTATTAAACCAAACTAAGGAGGTGAAAGGCTTATACAGTAAAAACTATTTTTAAAAACTGATGAAAGAAATTAAAGACAACTCCAATAAATGGAAAGACATCCCATGTTCATGGATTGTAAGACTTAATATTGTTAAAATATCCATACTACCCAAGGTGATCTACAGATTCAATGAGATCTCTATGAAAATCCCATTGCCATTTTTCTTATAGAAACAGAAAAAACAATCCTAAAATTCATATGGAACCACAACTGACCCAAAATAGCCAAAGCAATCTTCAAGACGAGGAAGACTAGACACATCATGCTTCCTGATTTCAAAATATATTGCAAAGCTACAGTAATTGAAACAGTATAGTATTTGCATAAAGACAACCACTCAGTCAACAGAAAATAACAGAGAACTTGAAGTTAAGCCCACAGAAATACAGATCTTTAACAAGGCTACCA